TATATATATATAATTGATTAGTTCTATTTCGAGCCAAAAAGAGCCGAACACGAGCGAACAAATATTTGTTCGTGTTGTTCGTGTTCGGCTGGCTAACTTAGAGAACGAGCCGAACACGAGCTTCTTAACGAGCCGAACATGAGCTGTTCGGGAACAACGAGCTGTTTTGATAGCCCTACCTAAAATACTCTCTTTTTTAACATCAATTGTTAACTTTAATTTTTATAACATTTAATTGTGGGATCATTTTAGCTTCTATTTAAAGAGTCCAATAATTAAATCATATCTTTTATATAATCTGGGATATTGAGAATATTCAAGGTTCAGGGTTCAAGGTTCAGGGGATTCAATAGGAAATTAAATTTTCCAAAATAACAATCAGATAAAAATTCCTAAAATGAATTGTTACTTCTAATGGCAAAATACTTTTTGCTCCTGTTTTAAAAGTGCAAAGCTTAAATCGGATCTTTAATCTAATTTTGAACTAAAATGGTCTTTACTACTGTTTGCATGTTATTCAATGAAGAATGCGTGGTAATTAAAATTAAAATGGGCATTTACATAGCACACAATTCTTATGTATTTATGTATCTCGCACCTAAATTTTAGTATTTACACACACATGACTCAAATCTTTAATATCACATCAAAAATAGCACTATTACTAGTGTTATGTATGCATGAAATTTTAGATGTGAGATGCAAATACATAAAATTCATGTGTTACACACGTTAATTTCCCAAACTAAAAACCAATCGCACGTTTCCATTTTGATGCATTTCTTTATTGGGGCATGAATACATAAATACCACCTAATTCTTATGTATTTATAAATCTAACATCTAAACTCTCACATTTACAAACATGGTACTCCGATTTAACATTATGTCAAAAATAGCACTACTACTTTCTTTTTAAAAGTAAAATTCATCTTTTCATGCATAGGTTAATGACACCAAAGTTTTGTAAAAGTCTAGGTTTTATATATGCAAATACATGAGAATTTTGTGGTCTGTGTGTAAATTTTCCAATAAAAAAATAAAAAAATGCGGCATTCGTTTAAATTAATTGCTTTAGACTGTTTAGAATTTTACCGTTCAATATATTTTTTGTTGGTTAATAACCTTTTTTTTTTATATCCACATTAAAATAGTTTTAAATTAATACGCTATAAAATACTAAAACTTCTTCAATTTTGATCACATTAATATTTTAAATTTATTTGAACATAGAAAAATTTTACTTCATATGTTTCATGATATTTCATTAAGAAATAAATTGTGGAGATATTCGACCAATTTCTATAGTTTATGTGGCGTATAAAATCAAGTTTCTGTTCAATAGATTTTATTGCTAATAAAAAAAATACACATAAATCTTGGCCATTTAAATAATCTACTGTTTATTTATTATTATTATTTTTAAATTAATTGGACATGTGTTTTTTAGATTTATAATCCAAGTAAATAAAATTATGATGCTAATGCTAATTTCAAATTCACAATCCTTAACTCTATTTCCCTCCGGTCTCAATATAAAGAATTCAAATTTTATATATAAATACAAATTTCATTTCCTAAAATATTATTTTGGTGCATTTACATGCATGCCACACTAGTCTTATGTATTTACTTATCTAACGCTTAAATATTCATATTTAGATATGTTTAACATTCAAATTCTAAACATCACATCAAAAATATATAAATAAATATCATTTTAAAAATAAAATACATCTTTTTGTTTATTGACATCAGTGTGTTATAAAATAAATATTAAACTTTAGGTATTAGATATGTAAACACAAGAAAACAAATAATCAAGTGAGCTAAATGATACGGACAAAAAATCTCACATTAGCTAGGTGTAGTGCTCTTCAAAGCACTTCAGAGAGATGAATAGACTATGACTTATATACTCTTTTCGGCCTTATATCTGGCCGATGTGAGACTTTTTGTCCGTGACATTTTACTTCACCTAATCATGTGATGTACTCATCACTGATTGATTCCACTGAGTCTTATTGGACCATGGAAAGTCCACACACCTGACAGAGAGCAAATACCACTTATCAAGGTGAGCAGCCTACATCTAGCTTCGTGACATAAGAGAAAATTTTATGTACATACATAAAATTATCAAAGGTTATTCAGAGAGTTAGGGGTTATACTTACAGGGTATAACACTAATATAACCCCTCTTCAATACTTAGGTACGCAAATTTTTCTCGCGACATAGAGCTTTGAACATTCTGCTAAACCCACCTTGCCTGCCAAAGCAACTCTTTCTTAACTCCGCGGAGTCGTCGTTTTCGTCAGCAATTACCTAAGACTCTCTGCAGCCCTATCGCAAATCGCAGATCGGCGATCGGCCCTTCCGCTTCCCTCCCTGATTAAATCAGTTACGACGTTCGACGCTGTTTCCTTCAACTATCCTGAGTCCAGGTGATCCCCTCGCCTTCTTCTTGTGATTTATCTTTTTTTTTCCTCCGTCGTTTTCTTGTTGCCTGACAGTCCTATTTCTGATGAACGTCAAGGGACATCTTCAGAGTGATCATGTCTCTTGCGCTGCGATGCTGCGATGCTTTTGCTGCTGCATCCCAATCGCCGCCTTATTCCACGCACAAGGCTAACCCTTGCTCCGAACGTGCATTCATTCAACTTTGCATTTTTTATTGTCCTTTGAAAAGTTTTCAATTAGAAATAGAGTTTTTTACTATAATTTTTTTTATTATTGAGTCGGTTTTGTTGATATGGTTGACTGTTTTAGGGCATCGAGTAAAACCCTGTATCTTGATTGAACTTTCTAAAAATATCAGCGTTAAAACCATTTAGTGAAGTCTATCTTGATTTCCAGATATGATTATGCTATTTCATTCCCGTTCCATATTTTGATTTTGTATACAATTATCTTTGGTGTTTCCCTTTCCATTGATTGCTTTATCCAAGTAAAGATATATATATAAATATATAAAGAAGAAAAATAATACTAGGCCAATAGCTAACCTCCATTTGCTAATTTAATGCCGGGTATATTTTTGTTGAAGCAATATTCAGCACATTGATGGTATGGGTTTGATGCATATTGGCATTGAGGGTGCCCACTTATTATTTTCTTGTTGCTGACTAAATTCTTTAATTCCTTTACACTTTTTAGCTTCATGACTAAAATAATCTATTGGTTAGATTATGAAATATCAAATAATCCATGTTAAAAATGCTGGAGAATGCAACACAAGTTCACCTTGTCCATGCTGTTCACTCTCAATGGCATTTTGTAAGCAGTATTCAGCACACACATGGTATGGGTTTGTAGCAAATTTGCACTCAGGACTCACTCTTCTCTCTGAGGGGAGAACTGCTATATCTTCTTCCTTCAAGTTTTTGATAGCTGAAATAATGTATTTGTAAGATTATAGATAACAGGTTTTAAAAATTGTAGCAAATGACTTACTTTGCTGTGGTGGATCTCTCTCAAGAAAGTTTTCTGAGCAATGTTCAGCACACACATTATACGGATTTGACAGATGTTTGCAGTCCAGATCCACAACTGCTGTGGAGGTAACTACTTTCTTTTCTTCTCTTGATTTCATCACAGCTGAGATAATCAAATTTTTAGGTCATAGCTAATGGAAACTGAGTGGAAATGGATGACTTACATCGCTCGGGATGGTGTCCATTAGGGACATTTTGAAGGCAGGATTCAGCACAAACATGATACGCATTTGATGCGTATTTGCACTGAGGATTCATTCTTTCTAAGGGAAAAACTGCTTCTTTATTTTCCTTTGACTGCATGAGAGCTGAGAAATGCATTGGTCAGATTATGGATGAATTTGGAAGAATACATCATCATGGTATGTCTTTCCAACGCCGATCCTTAATAGGAAGACTTTGGAAGTGGAATTCAGTACATTCATGAGAGCTGAGAAACTTTGGAAAGCAACACAAATGTACCTTGCCCATGCTGTTCACTTTCAATGGCATTTTGTAAGCAGTATTGAGCACAAACATGGTATGGGTTTGACGCAAATTTGCACTCAGGACTCACCCTTCTCTCTGAGGGGAGAACTACTATATCTTCTTCCTTCAAGTTTTTGATACCTGAAATAATGTATTTGTAAGATTATAGGTAACAGGCTTTAAAAAATGTAGCAAATGACTTACTTTGCTGTGGTGGATCTCTCTCAAGAAAGTTTTCTGAGCAATGTTCAGCACACACATTATACAGATTTGAGAGATGTTCGCAGTACAAATCCACAACCGGCGTGGAGGCAACTACTTTCTTTTCTTCTCTTGATTTCATCACAGCTGAGATAATCAAATTTTTAGGTCATAGCTAATGGAAACTGAGAGGAAATGGATGACTTACATCGCTCGGGATGGTGTCCATTAGGGACATTTTGAAGGCAGGATTCAGCACAAACATGATACGCATTTGATGCGTATTTGCACTGAGGATTCACTCTTTCTAAGGGAAAAACTGCTTTATTTTCCTTTGACTGCATGAGAGCTGAGAAAATGAGAACTGAGAAAAGCATTGGTTAGATTACGGATGAATTTGGAGAACAGTAAACACAACATCATGGTACGCCTTTCCCAAGCCGATCCTCAATAGGAAGACTTTAGAAGCAAAATTCAGTGCATTTATGAGGTCTGAGAAACTTTGGAATGCAACAAATGTATACCTTGCCCATGCTGTTCACTTTCAATGGCATTTTGTAAGCAGTATTGAGCACAAACATGGTATGGGTTTGACGCAAATTTGCACTCAGGACTCACTCTCCTCTCTGAAGGGAGAATTACTATATCTTCTTCCTTCAAGTTTTTGATAGCTGAAATAATGTATTTGTAAGATTATAGATAACAGGTTTTAAAAAATGTAGCAAATGACTTAATAGAGACTACTATATCTTCTTCATTCAAGTTTGATCATGAGGTCAGGGCACTGTTAATACTGTTTACATTATCGGATAATTGGGATGGTTTGGTCACTACGGCGGGGTGGTTTTGTCACCACGGCGAGGAACACCTATCGGAATACA